TTCCATCCTCGATAACGTATCAAAATGCAGATGCGTTGTCACCCGTGAGGACTAAGATGGAATGCCTCGTTTCCAGTAAAAATGGTCTCCGGTTCTCTACACTCACTGTACGAAACACAGCAGCATTAAGCTGCTATTTTACGCTTGTATTCTGTGAGAGCGTGATCCTTCCCCGGTCGAGCCGAGCCATTCGTGCTACAACTACACTACTAATATAGCTGTAGCATGGCTCTACCACGTAGAAATTTTTTATTTGCTGAAAACGTTGTACATATAAAAGTTTACCTAGCAGGTACCTGACTATTTACGTCCCACTGACAAGCACAGACCTTTTTCCATATCTGACATGGTTTTGTGGCAAAAAAGTGCATTGCGTCGCTTCAATGCGTGTTGGAATACTTCACATGTTCACGATTTCTTTAAAGTTTGCGGATATGTAGGTTGCCTCAGGAAGTTTTCTTTGACCTCTGAACACGTGCTACATCAGTATTTTCAATTGTAATTAGTAATATTATAGGGCCTAGCAGAAACAAAGCTCGGTTTACTCGCGTATTATGAAATTTTAAGGCCAGTGTTTATCTCTACAACTATCTAAATGCTTAATACCTAATTTTAAATAAATACATACATATTACGAGTAAAAGGTACATCCTACAAAGCATCCATTGACTTCCTGCATGTCTTACTAGGTTGTCTCTCCGGGGGGGGGGGGGGGGGATTTTCGAGAATTGTACAGAAAACAATAAGTACAATTTGCCACTGTGTCTTGTGTATGTGGACTATGACAAAGCCTATGATTCCGTCGAAATTTGGGCAGTGCTACAGTCCCTTCAGCGGTGCCAAGTTGACTGTCGGTATATCGAACTGCTGAAGTGTGTATACAGTAGGGCTACGATGGCTATAGAGTACAGAAACAGAGTACGAAATTTATCCAACTTCAAATAGTCGAAACTCTTTTCTTTTCCAAGCTACTAGACTGGAAAGTGTACGGTATTAACATCAATGGCGAGTACATCACTAATCTTCGATTTGCTGACGATATAGTCCTTATGGCAGAATCACTGGAGAACCTAAGCATTATGCTCACTGACCTCAATAGTGCCTCTCAACGGATAGGTCTTAAGATGAATATGGACAAAACAAAAATCATGTATAACGTCCATGTCACACCTAGTTGTTGGGAGCGCTAAGGCCGAAGTTGGCCTGGGACAAATAGTCCGACTAGGTAAGTCCAACTTCGTCCGAGAGGTCAATCGACTTCAACTCAGCTGGGCAGCGTTCGGGAAATTACGACACATCTTCACGTCAGGTATACCTCAAAACTTGAAAACGAGACTGTACAACCAGTGCGTGTTGTCAGTGATGACTTATGGAACTGAAACGAGGTCCTTCACTGCTGGGCGAGGAAGCTCAAGGTCGCTCAGTGAGCTATGGATTGGGCTATGCTCGGGGTTTCTCTGCGTGAGAAACTTAGGAATGAGGATATCCGCAGTAGAACCAGAGTGACCGACATAGCCCAACGGATTAGTAAGCTGAAGTGGCAGTGGGCCGGCCATATAGCTCGAAGAACCGACAACCGATGGGGAAAAAAATTCTCGAGTGGCAGCCTCGTAGCGGTAGGCGAAGTGTACGACGACTCCCCACTGGATTAAAAAAATAAATATATATAATATTCAAGTTATTAATAAGTAAATAAGCCAATAAATAAACAAGTAAATAGTCAAGTAAATAAGCAAGTAAACAAAGTAGACATAAGCACGTGGTATAATTTGCCGGCTTCTGTCTTTCCGTCCGATTACAATCTGGGCGTCTTCAAGACAAGAGTGAATAGGCGTTTGTTACTTTAAGCCAGTGTGATTTACCATTTAGGACTTCATCACCACTTACCACCAGGTGGGATTGTAGTTAAGCACTGGCTTATAATGAGTTTTAAAGTTTTAAGTCAATTTGGGCGGGACTGTTTCCGTGAAACGAAACTGAACTGAATTCTAATTTAAACTTGAGACTGATTATTAACTATTTTTTGTAATAAAGCCGTTTGTGTTTAGAAAATTGCGTATCGTATTATTACAACAAGTCGTTAATCTCATCGCTACAAATTCGTAATGCTGTTCGTATTCTAATTTTGGAATTCATTCACAAACACGAACATAGTTGATTCCATTTCCATTTCCGCTTGCAGTAGGGTTGACAGATTGATAATAATTTAAATGTATGCTTTACATTTTGAGGGAGAAGTTTTAAATTAATTTTTAGCCGACTTGACTTCAAGGAAGGACGTTCTCGATTCGACTTCGATTCGTATTTTTTTAACCGACTTCTAAGTGACTCATAACTTTTATCTAGGTGAACCGATTCTGATGATTCTTCTTTTATTTGAAAGCTGGTGCTTCTCATGTGGTTTTATAAAAATTTGATCAAGGTCTGATCAGTAGTTTCTTAGTTATCCTTAATAATTTATATTGAAGCTGTGAACCGATTTTAATGAGTCTTTTTTTATAATGCGACCATCATTTAACTTGTAATCATAAAAAAATATAATCATAAAATAAACTCACCCATTAATATGAAATAATAAGGGACGAATATCTTAATGAGACTATTCAGTTTTAGTCATTCTAGAATACCAAGCGTGGTTACGATATCATTGAGTAGTTAAAACCAACTTTAAAAAAAAGATGAATAAAATAATTTGTAACTAACTAATAGCTTCTGAAGTTGGTGCAAACACAGTATATCGAAGAATTTAAGCCGAGAAGAAGTTGTCGTTCAGGCTGTACTTTTCAGGAACTCCTTGGCCAAAGACATTAGAAAACTGCCTAATCATCCCTTTCCAGCCTTTGAAAGATAGGTACGCAAAAATTTGAAGTGACAATGGGCCGGTCATATAGTGTGAAGATGCGATAACCGATTTAAAATGAAGAAAAAATTTAAGTTTATCTCTACATCATGTTAGATTAGTGTTAAGATTTCGAGGAGAAAAAACCACAGCACTCACAGATACTAAAAAAAAAACATTGTTTTAAATTACTAAATAAATTTACTAATGCGGTGTACCTATTAACGACTTGATCAATCGCCAAAATTTCTACTATCTTTACATATAATAAGAATAGATTATATTAGGTCTTCCTTAATTGTTTAATATCCATGAAGTAGTTTTGAAAGTGTTTGAATATTTTATATATTAAAATTATTTGCTATTAATTTATAAAATATATTAATTTGAATCTCTTTTTATTAGGGGAGAAGCGCACATTCAGTACTTTTTTAAACTGGCTCTACGGCTCTGGGTTCTAGCCCTTCTAAGCCTGTTAGTACTGAATAGAATTTGGACGGTCTTAGAGTATATAAAACCAAGTTATGCTTATGTATACTCTTAGTTAATTCTTTATAAAAAATATTATGAAATTTCTTATAACCAATTTATAATTATTTTTATTTAATTCATTCATTAATCACACAGCCTGTGAAAGTCCACTGTTGAACATAGGCCTCCATTATGATTGCCACGGTTACCCGCTGTGGGTTGGCAACCGCAGTTTTTATATTCTAGTTGTTATTAGGATGGCGCTGCTGCCCACCTCCTTATTTGTTTCCCTCTGTCGCCTTTTACGACACCTACGGGGCAATATGTTGTAGTGGATATTCTTACACCGCCACTACACTGTAACGTTTTTTTTTAATACTACACATTAAATAAAACAAAGTCTTACGGATTTTATCACTTAAATTCACGACGTTTTATTTTTTTCTGATTTAATTCAAATTGCGTGTCTAAGTTATTGACGACAATTTTCCTTTTAATTTATTTTATTAAAAATCATACATAATTTACTCGGTCCATATCTTAGATTAGAGTATACATAAAGGTAAGCTCTCACACCTCGCAATCCATTACTCTGTCGCCACTTCATTCTCTGTGTTTACACTGGGTTACGTCTGTCAACGCGCGCGGTCATTTCTGCCGTCAGCGGTCGCTCCGCAAACGATGTTTGCCAAACATCCGATTGAGCTGGATTACAATGGGTACCTCCAGTGCGCCATATTAGTATACACTTATGAATTGAGACGTAATTTTAGTATTATTTATCAGTGATAGAAAGAATTATTATTATAATAAGTAAATAACATTTCAATTATTTACGTAACATAATCCATTCCATTACAGCCTATAATGTCCACTACTGAACATCATACAGGCCTCCTCCATAGAGTGCCCCATTGGCGGGATATTGCCACGCTTGGCAGGTGGGTTGGCAACTGCAGTTTTTTATAGTTTTGAGTTGTTATCGTGAAAGTGCTGCTGCCTATCTCCTGTTTAGTGTCCCTATGTCGACTCTTACTACACCCACAGTATACACGAGGTACTACGAGGTAGTGGATATTCTTACCACCGCTACTACATACATACAAGGCCATAATATACTAATAATGTCCTTTAGGTCGAATTTCGGTTACGGCGCCCAGTCTCGATGGAGACTAGCCATCTGCACATGACAGAACTAAAGTGCACAAGTGTCTGTGTACTGGTGCACAGCACACCTTCACTTGTATATGTAGATATAGCAGCAATTCGACATGACTGCAGAGAGAATATATTTGTATCGATATCCAAATTAAAAGTACACCGCTGGACACAAGCCTTTTTCGCTGTATGAAAGACTTGTCATTATTTATTACCACTTGCATAAGGCAACCTCGTTGGTCATGTAAATACCTACTACATGTCTGTCATCTTTGTAATCTCTTTTTTTTCGCCGGTCCAGATATTTTACATCTGGTCTAAACGAAAATGCTGTACCGCCATCTAGCGATAGCCATTAGATCTTTTTGATATTTCCCATAGCCGCTTTTAAAAAACCCTGTTGACAAAATGTATGACTGACTCTCTTGCGCCCCCATCAACACGAGAATACTCTCCGATAAGACCACCTAAGATAATTATTAACCAAGGTTTATCTTGTCCCCAGACTACCTCACATAACCAAATAGCCAGCATGCATAGAATCTCGTCCAACAACCCGGTAAGAAGGCGCCTGTTCCCTGCCGAAGACCTGGCCGATCAAGCCAAGATCGACAACTTCACAAACATCCTACATGAGTCCGTTGCTACTGAGAAGTTGGAGATGATGCATAAATGGAACTTCGACTTCGAAAATGAAATACCACTAGAAGGAACCTACGAGTGGTTTAAATGCAATGGTTCCGCAGACTGGATTGGGATGCAAACAGCAAAGTTTGCATGTGAGGATGCTTTTAAAGGCACTAACGATGAAAGTTTCATGGCGATGAAGTTAGATAATGAACTCACGCCCAAAAGCGACAAGGTTGAAAAAGCTCCCATCCTGAGGAAGAGAAGGAAAGAGGTCGTAGACAATGCTTTGGATGGCACAAGAGGAGTGAAGCGCAGGATAAGCTTCGATTAAAACCTAGGAATCAATTTTGAAATAATTTTCATTTTGGTACGTAAATAATATATTTGCTAAAACACTTATAATATTTGGTACGTATATAAACAAGCACATAAAACTAATTAAGTAAATTATAGTTGATTATTGCCATTTTAACGTATTGTATTCTTTTCCATAAATTATTTTTTCCATAAAATTATTTAGGCAAATATATCATTATAACTCAACATTTTACTATGTACATATATTCTTTTCAAAAAATTACATTCCGTTGATCGATTAGTTAACATTAAAATCATGACTAATGAAACCATAAGTTTAATTACTCTGTTCATTAAATTTACTAAAATGAAAATTATTATCTTCAAGTCGATGTTTAATGAAAGTGCCATGATTTAATTAAATCAATTGTTAATATGTATTAAAGTAGAACATAACTGTGACATTTTAGATGTCTTTTAATTTTTATCTTATTTATTTTAACGGTTGAATAAAAATTCACCATAATAAGACTGTTTCTATGTAAATTTAGTATTTATTTAGTTTATTGTAAACATATTTTTAAATAACAGTAGAATTTACTCTCCAGTCGAAACACAATGGAGAAAGAGTTAAAGGAAGAAGTGTTATTGCGTCTCTCAAGTTTTGATATTTTCAAGCCTTCTTGACAGCTCTATGTAGATATTATTTTGAAATATTTTATACTTTTAGAAATTATTTGTAATCATCACTGATCATTAATTCATCATTCAATACTGGAAATTATTTTTGATGAAAATTATAGTGTTTGATCTCTTGTAATACTTTAGCTGTAATTATGTTGTAAAGGACGAACGTGATCACCGAATGTTAAAAAAAAATTAGTTCGTATCATATATATAGTGAGATTAATTTTAAAATGTCACTGCAGTGGTATATTTTGGTTCTTCTTAAATACTAAAATAAAATACTAAATTTAAAAGTAAGTTGATAAAATAACTTATTATTTTCAAACGTTACTAAATTATTATTTTTAAATTTTAACTCAAATTTACTAATGAAGTTTAAACAACCTCAAATTTTTTGATTTCGAATCTTCATTTGGTCTAAATAAATAAGTATTCATAGAATGGCGATAAAAAAAAACAAGTTGCATCAATAGTTAAACCAATTTATGTCCAGACGAGTGGTGGAATCTTTTTTTTTTATTTATTGATCCACCAACATTTGTATCATTCCTTACATGCTATTTAAATACAATGAACCAATAAGAACTAAAATGTACAAATAATTACAGGCGGATACCACATGCTAATAACTATCTCAGCACTGTAACTTCATTTCTAGGGTAAAAAAAAATAATAATGATATACAGTAATAAAAATACATAGAGCGAAAAGAAAAGAAAATGTTTTACAGAATATTACAAGAAATAGTCTCTTAATGTGCGACGGAGCTTGTTAGGAGGGTCGAAAAATATATCGATTGTTTCGCTAAATTTGTTAACAATTTTACTCATTCTAGCAATTGGAGAATTGGAGCCAAACACTGTTCTACGATGAGGTCTAGTCAACGGTATCTATTTTTATAACTTAGAAAGTGACTTAAAGAGACTGGCATAGAACGACGTGGAGATTTAATGTGATACTCGTAGCTACAGAGACGACCTTTCGTTAAAAGCATAATTTTTTGAAGGATTGAATGTTGCCAATAATTAATCAAAAACGTAAACCATATTTAATATTGCTACTGTTATATTTAATAAATTATATTTAGTATTACAACATAGTGGACTAATATAATTACTGTGTGGACTGATGATTCTATAACTCATAAACAACATGTTACATGTTACTTTTCGAGATACTATAGAGCGTTAAAATCCGTAAAACTTAGTTTCATTTCAATGTGTAGTGTTCGCGTAAATATAAGAAATCATTAAAAATATAATTCCTTAAAAAATACGCAAGGCATATAAACGCATTGTTTCTATTAAAATTAAAACAAAGCATACAAAAAATATTGTCAATGAAGTTATCATTTCTAAACTAATTGAACAACTAACATTTTTACATTTATAATATTAGGAAGGATATAAATAGTCAAGCCAATACAGGCAAAATCTAGTCTAGATGTTTAATGAAAATTGAACCTAAATATACCATTTCAGTTACAATTAGTTTATAAAGTTTTTTTTAGAATAAAATGTATTGTTATAAAGTCGTACGCAAAAAGTTATTTTAGGACTGGACAAGAGGATATTCATTTTAAAATAACTTTTTAATTATTTATTGTAAGGCAAATTCTTGTTTATGTAAACTTTAAACGCAGCTATTATCCCAAAGCCCATGTAGAGCCTACAGTTTGTTCACGCTACCACACTTTATGTGTTAAATTTACTTTTTTTGTACTTATTCAGACTTCATTCTAATTTTAGTTCCTCTAACCTTTTGATCTTTTGTATATTATTTAATAGATTGTCAATTATTAATAGTATTATTGTGTTATTTGTTAATTTATTGTGATTCGTATTTAATAAATCATCGGCATTTTTAATATTTTTTTTTTTTGTTTAAACTTCCAACTTTTAACAATTCCTTCATTTAATTTATTACATAGGTCTCATACACGCTTTGGCGACCGCAGTTTTTTTTACTATTTTACTTGTTGCTGCTGGATGAAGATGCTGCTGCCGATGTCCTGTTTCTTTTCTCGATCTTTACCGTCTCTCAGTACACCGAAAGTGAGTTTACTTACGCCGCTACTATGCGGCAATAATATAAAAAAATTATGGGATTTTGTTTATTTTAGGGAAATATTATTAATAATATTTTAATAGTTCTCTGGAGCTTTTGTGAGTTTATTTACCAATAATAAAGCTGCAGAGAACAATAATTCATTATTAAAATTATATAATTTTTTAATGAAAATTCTTAAAAAAATTGTGCCTGTAACTGTGTACACCCGTATGACGTAACACTATCTTTAGGACATATTATTCTTCTTTTCAACCGACTTCAAAAACGAGGAGAGGTTTAAAATTAATCGGAATCTTTTTTTATGTACATATGTACACCGATTATTCCAAGACTAGGAGGTCTCTTTTAAATTGTATCGCAATCGGTTGAGTTGTTTTGAAAAAATCAACAATAAATTATATTTATATTGAAGTTGGGTTGTACAATTTTTTTTTTAATTTTACTACTTGTATTTTATATTTTACATAAGTTGGTTAAATAATAGTATACTCATGCAGCCCCGGCGGCGAAACGTTATAAGAATGATTTTTAATACTTTACTAAATTTCGTCGATAATAAAAGTTTCACTTTAGAAATAAAAGATTTTTTGAAACACTCTAACGTTATAACTATTCTTAATAAGGTTAAAATGCACTATTAATATTGATTTCAGCGTCTTCCTTATTTGGACATTTTACCGTTAAACATAATTCACACCCGCATCTTACAATGTTCCAGGATATAATAACCACTGGAGTAGTCCAACATAATACTAAAATTAATTAAAATATTAATACTTGAAATAGTTTGTTGAACAAGTGTCATTTAAAATGGGAAATAAATTTTCATCTGTTATTTTTGATTAATTATTAAAAGACAAAAAATTCAAAGGTTTATATAGCGGCCGTTGGAAACATTGTCACACAAAAACTTTGGACTCAATGGAAAGGCGGGCTAAGAGGTTTTGGTTTGCTGACCTGTGGCATATTTTAAGATGGTCTTCTCTTTGAAGAGAATCTTTAACTTTCGCCTGTAAAACTTTATTCGTCCTTATTTTCGAGTTTATCGGCTCTGGGGAAAAGAGGACTCTGTATAATTTGTGCATACATAAAATATCTACAAAATTACATTCACACTCATTAATTTTAAAATCACATAACTTTTTACTTATATCATTCGATTTTGGATCTTAATTTTGACACATTTAGTTTTACAAGCGTTCCGAGAAAATTGTTGATTTTTAATTGCTGTTGAGCATAAAATAAATTTAAAAACAAATTACATATTATTTCTTGATTTTAATTTCAGACCTTCAAAAAATACTAGCAGTTTGTTGTTTTTTTTTTTTGGCCTATTCCTCCGTATACCTTACTTACTTATCTTCACGCACAATCCCTGACGGGGTAGCCAGAGAGAACAGATCGCCAAGTGTCACGATCCTTACATATCTCTTTCGCTTCTTTCAGATTCATTATCTTCTTCATACATGCACGTCTAGGTATCCGAGTACTCTTGACCCTACCCTCTTCGAGCAATTTGCTCACATGGTCTTCGAAAGTTAGTCTCGGTCTACCTCGACACCTTTTAATATTAACTTTCGCGCTATATATTTTCTTCACCATTCGGTCTTCACTCATTCGCTCAACGTGCCCAAACCACCGAAGCACGCCCTTATCAATTTTTGTGATAAGGTCATCTTTCAAACCTGCCATATTGCGAATCTCTTCGTTTCGCTTTCGGTCGGCCATAGTAACGCCGCACATTTTACGAAGAGATCGCATCTCCACTGCATTCAACTTACTTTTATGCTTCTTCTGGCATACCCAGGTTTCGCTGCCATATAACAAAGTCGGTACCAACACTGCGTTATGTATTGCAAGGCGTGCACTCTTCGCTACGCCTTGCCTTTTGACTAACGCAGTCAGGGCACCATTGACTTTGTTCCCGGCAGCGACACGCCTGTCCACATCTAAATCACATCTTCCATCCCGGCTAAAAACACTCCCCAAGTATACAATTTCATTTACCTGTTCTAGACATTCCTGATTTACCCATATTTCACACTTCGTTCTCTCTTCGTCCCTTTCAAATACCAGAACCTTAGTTTTATTAGCATTCAAACGGAGACCTTTAATTTCACATTCCTCTTTCATACACGTGACTAATGCCTGCAGTTCTGCCTCTGATGGTGCAATAAGCACTGCATCATCAGCATACAGCAGACAATTTACTTTTATGTCACCCAATTTCACACCCAAACAGCTATCTTTCAGCTTTTGTAAACAGCTGTCGAGATA